GTTATCACGCTTTCGTGTGCTCACAACATTACCTGCGTTCGTAGCACGTATTTCTATGCATTCCTGTGTTTACAACGTTGGGATTGTTCCAAAATCACGCACATTCTCCTTCCTCCCTATTTGCTGGAGATACAGAAGCTTTTTTTAAATACAATTGGTCACTTGCATCCGTAGCACGCATTCCTATAGAGTGGTATAGAATTACAGAGTATCTCTTGTGTCCACTGAAGCATTAGCGTGCACTGTATCGCAGTACGTAGGCTGCGTATACGACACGTATTAAAATACAAAATATGAAAACCCGTCCTGATTTTTCAGCGCACACGACACAGTTCCAGGGTCATTTGGCATACCACCTGGCGGCACTCCACGTACCACTGCCGGTACGCGTACCACAGTTTGAGAACCACTGAACTAGAGGATCATGATCACTGAACTAGACATGGATAATGTCTATGGAAATAGCATAGATTTATAAAAGGTAGTTCTTGTCTGATAAACTAAGTTCTTTGAACAAGCACCAACAGTAAAAGGTACACATTGGACATCAGATATGGCAAATTTTGAATTCAGAAGGCTTTGCTTAAAGTTCCCCAGGAAAGAGGACTTACCACAAAATACTGACACTCAGCAGTGTCCAGGAAAAGGTGTGATGGGGGCAGGGGGGAATCCGGTATAAACATGTTTGAAATGGGTGCTCGAGCACAACTAATCAATTTCCAATCAATTTTAATCAAAATTAAATTGATTGGAAATCAATATCAACTTAGTAAAGAACCGCCTTCCTAAATGCCAACACATGAAATGACAATCGAGGAGCTTGAGTGACTGTCAGTGATGAGATTGCTGCAGACTCCTAGGCAGGTCTCGGATGTGACCGCTGGCTTGTTTTAGTGTAATGTATCATCTGTGATCTAAAGCAGATGGGCCTGGAGACCGTGCAGCAGCCTGGAGCCGACAGAGTGGCGCACCTTCATCTTGGCCCATTATGGGAATAATTCATGCGATCTCTAAACACAAAAACACGTTCTGCGCCCTGTAAGGGAGACCCCTAATGGGGAGACTGAAGGGGGGAGGAGCCCCAGCAGCCCCGCCTCTGGAAAGTGGGGGTGCACTCAAAGCATGCAGCCTTCCTGACAAACCCTGTGTTTCCTGTGCGCCACAGCACACCCATGGCTGTTCCAGCTCCGGGCTGCAGGACCCACTGGGGCAGAAAGGTAGAAAGGACAGGAGCTGCTTGCAGAGAGCTGCCCATCCTCTCTCCCTCCACTGGGATCTCTGAAACCTAGAGCCGGCGTCCCCTGGGGCCTCGTTAGGACAAAATTATAGACACACACATGGTTTCGAGACTCATCACAGCCCTCCACTTCACCACATAATAATCACCGTGGACAGAAGCAAACATTATTCTTGTTGGAATTCAAAAGCCTGTACCCACCTCCAAAAAAAGGATGTTTTTTAATGACTCATTGTATTTTATGACTCACTGTATGCAAATAGATAACAACAATTATAAAAATCACAGAGCAGGACTCTAGATTACATGCCATTAGTGGAGGAGATACAAAGGAGCTTCCACTAAATGATTTTAGCACCCCCATCCCCCCCATAAAGATTTCCTAACCATTTCTGAAAAAAACAGTGCAACTACCATCTTGAGTTACCAACAAGTGGGATTTTGCTAATTCGTGATTTACAGCTCACAAATCGCTGTTTTTTTATTTAAATCTGGCTCCATGTTTATGGTATACAGTACATAAACTAGTTTTATTGTCTAAAACCTGCCTTTTATTTCCTGCTTCCCCAGGCATGGCAAAGGCTCATTGCTTCTTTGGCCTATAGCTTATGTCAAATGAAGAGCTCCGGCCTTGCTTCCTTGGCATAGCCTTCAAAAACAGCTCGCAGCAGAGCGTCCTGTGAGCCGGCAGAAAACGAAGAGTGTGAGCATCACAGCCAGGCCAATCAGGACAGCCTGTTCTCCTACAGTATGCACCGAACTACAGGCACTGCACTATTCACAAATCTCTTAATGGAACGTGGGCAAGCACTCATTAATCACACCTTCTGGAAATATGAGCAATCCATCCCGCAGAGCTCATTTGCCATCTGATCACTTGGACAAGGCGTAGATAGATGCAGATACAGTAGCATGGTATATTTATGCATACTGTATCTTAACATGCACAGTATACAGACAAATTGCAAAGGAAACGCCTAATAGCATTAAGAAGACGACTATCGAGCAATGCTTGCGAAAATTAGTTTTAACTTAACTCTAGTCTGATACCATTTCTTACATAGCCACTGTGATCAAATTATAGCAAAGCCCTGCTTCACATCTGAAAGATGTATTTGGCTGTCCTTGTCTGCACCAGACACCCGTGCAGTTTCGCTTCCCCAAGAAGTCACTTAATGGTAAATATGCCAAATACTCCTTACACTTATTTAGCACTTTTCTGGATACTCCACTCAAAGAACTTTAAAAATAATGGGGACTCCCTTCCATCACAACCAATGTGTAGCCCCTACTGGTAGATGCGATGGCAGCCAAAGGCGCCACACACCAGCTATCGGTTGGGAGGAGAACAGATTGATGAAGCCAAATCAGACATGGGGATTTTTAGGAGGCCATGGTTTGGTAAAGGCCAATAGGAAATTTGGCCAGGACACCAGGGTAACACCCCTACTCTTCTCAAGAAACACCCTGGTGTTTTTAATAACCACTGAGATTCAGGACCTCAGCTTTACATCTCATCCAAAGGATGGATGCCTTTTACAGTAAGGTAGGGGCAGCCATAGTGCACCAGTACACTCACCACACAGCAGCTATCAGTGAGTAGGAGAACAGAGTGATGAAGCCAGTTCAGAGATGGGGATTATTAGGAGACCATGATTGGTAAAAACCAATTTGGGAAATTAAGTAACACCCCTATTCTTCTCAGGAAACACCCTGGGATTTTTAATTACCACAGAGAGTCAGCACCTCAGATTCACAAAGAACACCACCTTTTCGTCCCCGTCACTATACTGGAGAATTAGGAACCACACATACTGCAGGGTGAGCTCCCCCGACTGGTCCCAGTAACACCTCTTCCAGCAATAACCTTAGTTTTTCCCTGGAGGTCTCCCATCCAGATACTGACCAGGCTCATACCTGCTGGGTTTCAGTGGGTGGTCAGCTGTGAGTTCAGGGTGATATAGCTGCTAGCTAGGAAAACGATACCTGATAGACCACATTGAAGTTGACAGCACTAGTGAAATTCTCATGTGGAATACTTCCAGGAGTACAGGCCGCTTAGAAAGGAGAAGGGACATTTAGCAGGGACTGTTTAGCACAGTGTGAACTGAGAAATGTATTCTTCCCCTGGGGTGAAAAATAAAGAGGTTAATTATGAAGGACCCCACAGAGACCGCGGTGCTGCTGTGTGAGCGCATGATAGCTCAAGCCCCTGGACCAGCTAGGCTCCGTCAGCAGACGGGAGGCGTACGCTCGTCTCAAAAGGAAGATGCCTTTGCCCCTGAGACGTGGGCTGTACTGCAAACGAACGAGCCTCCGGTGTGACGCTGCAGTGAGCCTGAAAATTAGCAGCTCGCTTTCCTTCTTTGCGGAAATGTCATTGATCCACCGAGACAGGTGGGGGCAAAATACCTGAAAACTCATCACGCAAAACAACAGAAACAGTGCTGGCTCTATAGAAGCACAGCTAGAGCTTATTAATCAAATGGCCTCCTCTCATTGTTCTGCGAACAATGCAGGAGTTAGGCGGGTCCTTTGAACACCCTCCTACACAGGAAAGTCAAGGCAAGGAGCAGCCTGCAGCGTTTCCATTTACTGCTCTTCTCTGCCAGTCAAGACAGTCCTGGTTATATCACACGTCCAGTTTCACCCATGAAGCATTAGGAAGAGCACAATTCTTTTCATAAAATGCATTCAGGAAATTTTATAACCGGTGGGAGGCATCTAGCTCAAACATAACACAGCACTACTTGAAAACTGTTTTCTAAAAACAGAACAAAATTCCCTCAGTCAGAACATGGAAACATGAAAAGTTTAGAAGCATAACAGAGCTGAAGACATTCTAAAAATTGAATGACTTTTGTCAACAAAAAAAAAGTTACTAGCTTTACCACAATGTAATATCTAATCTTTTTTTTTTTCCATTTTCTGCAGTATTACCAATAATGGAAAAGTGCTTAATGCCTGCTGCATGTAGAAATTAGAAATCTGCAAGCACTGACAGTCCTGAAAGGCTTTGAGAAACTGTGCTTCACTGTGAAAGAGCATGAAGCAGTCTTTCATCTAGATTGTTGGTTACTTGTCGTGTCTTTGCTGATTATATTTCTAGATGTAACCTTCGATCTATGCTCTCATAATGAAAAGAATTAATAATATATTAAAAAAATAATAACGGTGAAAGCAATTCATTATTTTACTTTGTATATGTTGTATTTGTAAATCTTTTCATTGTTAAATAAAAAGTTAAAAAAGAAACTGTGCTTCACGTTTGTTCCAGGAGCCTTTTCCACAGTCTTGGCAGAGCACTGCTTTAATCCTAGGGAAATGAGTTCTTAACAACGAAGAGCTCAGGGGTTTCAAGGCACAAACGGCTAGGAAACAAACCACAAAGCGTCCCCCAGTCTGTACAGCCCCTGATGCCAAGCGAAATCTGGGACATTCATTGAAAGTTTGACTGTGGAGGGCGACCCCTGGACAGAGCAGTGCTTAGACAGAGTCCTGGCACGGCTCAGCTGTGGGGAAGTTTCCACGGTGACTGAGGGAGGTGGAGGAGGCGGTGGGGAGGGGAGGCTAGCACCGGGAGCAAGCACATTTTGTGATTTGCTGCTTATGGACGGCTCTCTCTCTCTCCTCGGCTGGGCTGAACAGCAGGTGGCGTTCAGAGGAGCAGGCGACTGCACTACCTCAGCAGCTCAAAGTGCTCCACAGCGCTGGCGAGCGCGGAGATGGGGACTACTTCGCGGCTCAGCAGTTTCTTCTGCCCCGGAGAAGCAGACAGAATGAGCAACAAGCCTTCACCAGAAAAGTAAGTCCATTCTTTCACTCGGCCAAGATCGCGTTTGAATCTTGCAGATGTCTTTTTTTCTCTAGCGTAAAACAAAGAAAGCATCATTGTCAGCATCAGCCCAGAAACTTCAGCAATACAATCGCTTTGCCTAAAGTGGTCTGATCTTGGCTTTGCTTAAGCTGGCAGGCGTACTGTTACCTTGGGAAGGTGATCCTCCAAGTAGCACGGTGCTGAATTTAAAATAAAGAGCAGCCGCCAGTCTAGCTGAAAGGAAAGGAGTATCGCACATGCTGTTCTCCGAAAATAACTGGGTCTCTTGCTGACAAAGGCTGATGTTTAAAGAACCTTGGAAAGAAATCTGAGGACACCGTGGCATAAATCGACAAAGGGATTTAAAACAAAAACTGGGACAAGAAGCGTCTGGCTGGTTCGAACAAAAGAAAGCATCCCAGTGGGAAATTCTGTACCACGAATTTAGTTGGTCATAGAGAGCGAGACCATGCATAATTCAAGTCCTCTGGTACCAGCAGCCACTGAGCTCTACAGGCACCTGGGCTGAGCAGTGCAGGCTACAGGCTCACTCTTCCCAGAGACCGGGGTCTCGCCACACACAGCCGCGAGATGGCCTGACTCTGGCTTTAGGACTAGGGCAAGATATTGCTCAGTTATGTGCGTGCTTGTGTGCTTTGGTAGTATACACTTACTTTTTTTAAGGAATCTTGTCATTTCTCGGCTGAAGCTCCACAGCCTCCCTCTGTCAGAAACTCCATTGCATCTCTTATAAGCGTCTGGGAAATTTAGACTTGAGTTCTGTAGCTTTTAACGTGGACCTGCATGTCATCTTAGCGCTTCATTCTCCAGTACACAGGAAAGCTTTCTTTTACTGCATGACTGATGAGGCTCAGCAGACACCTTCTCACAACAACTGATGATCAGATCCTTTGCAGATGAGCGTAATATGGTTTACTAAGGTCGCTAAGACAATGGTCTCAGCAAAAGCAGGACGTACGAAAATTAAACATTCAGGCTTGAAAATACACCTTACTTGTGAACGGTCCTCACGATAAACAGAGCAAGTGTTGATGAGAATATGCCAAAGCACGTTTACAGTGTCTTTGCATGTTCATTTAGCCGAGTCACAAAACAGATTTCTTGAGCTTCAATCCAGGAAAGCAAATGGCAGGGTACAGGAATATGAAAACTAATATCCAGTCTGAAAAAAACAGCAAGAGACCAGTTTATTTTAAAATGGATATTCTACCTTCTTTATGTAAACTCATCCAACAGTCACACTGCACAAGTACATTTCCTTCTTTTTTTCTTTCCTGCTTCAGCGTGCCGAGCTATCTTTCCCCACTGTCACCCCAAAGTGCAGCAACAATATCTCTCTGCCGACCAGAAAGATAATAGCACTACCAAACTTTTTCATGGAAAAAAAGGGTCCGCGAGGGGAAAAAAAACAACTATTCTCATTCTCAAATATTTCGCCTCATGTCAGGTTGCTTCATTATCTTGTTTGATTCATTATAAAGCTTCCAGATCAGGGGAAGTTGGTTGTTCTCTGAAGAGGCCCCTGTGGGTGCTCTCTTGCAGTCTGGGTCACACAGTGCTGGGTTTCTACCAGCAAATGGCCACCATCAGAGGTGCCACGTCTGCCGGCACAAGCCCATCAGCACGGGTGCCCACTGAGCAGAGCCACTGCCAAGAGGCGCAAAAACAATTATATATTATTAAAGCAGTTATTGGAATTAGGTTTTTCTTAATGTTTATTAGGTTTGGGAATTTGTGCAAGTTTATTGTGATTCATCAGAAATTAAAAAGACGTCAGTCTGGATTACTAGCCTGAAGGTTTTACATCAACTGATTGAATGGTCAGAAACACTGACACACACAAACCTACATATAGATACTCTGTTGTGAAAGGTCTTCAGAAATCTTGGACACAACTAGGAGTGACACTATGAGCATTGAGAGCCATCAAGCTGTTCAAGTAGGTAGCTGCAAAGGAACAGGTAAAGGTTTATTCCATGCTGGAAGGAAAAGAAAGGAGATACAATTTTGGCTGTGGAGCCTTCTTCAGGTGTCTTCTTCATCACACCTGAACAAGGTTCCACAAGCTGTGTCCGTTTTCTTTTCAGCACAGAATAAACCTTTACTTGTTCCATTGTCGTTAAGCTGTTTCAATTTTTCAAGCTGATTAAACTACTAGTTCTTAAGAATGATACCCCAAAGCAAGAAATGTACATCTTTCATATTACCAAAAGATATTCATTACAGCACACATCCAATACATAGTAATTGGAAATTAAGCCATGTATTGTTGTGCAAGATATCTAATAATTGTTGTGAGGAGAGCAGAGTTTCTGGAAGTCTGCAAGTACCTACACCTCGTTTATTCAGGGTCACAGCATCCCACACTGAAAGCACTCCGATGTTACTGCAGAGGACTCCTGCACAATGAGCCCCAGTGACAGACTGGTCAAAACACAAACGAATTGTCTTGCTCGTGGCTTTCTTCTGCACTTCTGCCATTCATCTCCGTCAGTTTCCAAAGCAAATCTTTTGGATTTTGGACGTCTGCTGGGAGCTCTTCGGTTCCTTCCCGTACGTTGAGATGGTCTGCAAATCCAGCAAGCTCTCACCCCAGCCATGAAAGGTCACAGTAATTACCGAGAGCGCAATCGGCCTTCTCCCATTCACTTTGATGTCGGCAGGCAGAACGCCTCATGCTTGTGTTCCACAGGACTGGTAGACCTAATGCAGTGCTGGAGCACCAACTTCATTACAGTACAATTATTAACAGAAAGGGTTATTGCACCAAGGAAGTTTTTTTTTTTAGATTAAGGCTTCTAATATTACCCCAGGATTAAAATGCATTTGCAGCGTTGGCCGCAGACTGATCTTCATCGTGGAGAAGCCAGATCAGCTGGGAATCATAAATAATGCAACGCCAGTTTTCTGTGGAAAATTAAAAGGCTAGGGGAAGGGAGCCTGTCTGCTCAAAGTTCTGTGTGCTCAAAGTGATTACATTTTTAATTAATGCAAAGCTCCAATATATTAAAAAAAGTTTCTCAGCTTGTGGCAATCAATGCACGTTAAAGTAGAAACAAACCAGTCACTCATTATGTTTTGAAACATTTCCTGCTCATAACGACTGGTTACTACTAACACTTTCATTACCTAGGAAGTTCTGAATCAGTGTGCCCAATTAGAAAGCCCATTCTCATACTGAGGGTCTATACACTTTGTATGCATTTGAATTAATGAATTAATGAGTGCCGATTCTTAAAAACCCACTATTTTAAAACCTTTTAAATAAATATCAAAGCGTTATGCTTAATTAGATCTCATTAGATTTTTGTGTATATTTATTTTATTTCGTTTTCTTATAACCCACAGGGTACTCTTTCGATTATATAAATGCAAAGATTTAACCTCTACAGCAATGCAATGTTTTTCTTTTGTTTTTTTGCAATAAAGCGCTCAGCTGTTTTCCTCCTGAAATCCACAAATTGTAGACAGTGCAACACTATGCAAGTCACCGAGTATTATGGTCTTTTACCTGTATGCTACCTATTTATAGCTGAGCTGGTTCAGCTATGTGCAGGGTGCTATTTTTATGTGCCATATAAAATGAATTACCAAAAGGAACAGGAAATGCTGATAAATACCCAACATTTACTCTAACACTTGAGGTGAGGTAATGTATGCATACTTAAAGCCAAGACTAAACGGACAAAATTTAAATCATTACAACTAACTCTCAAATTTCTGCTGCACAAGAAAGACATCCTTTCATGACTTTCTACAGACAGAAATTGATACCAATTCATTTATAGGAGCACAGATGTATAAGATTTTCAACAAATATACAACAGCAGAAGCAAAATCTGCATCAAACAAAACAGGACATTCAAGCGCCACTAAAGCATTTTAACGTCTGGAAGCTGGAGTGCTGGGCTTGCTGCTGCATGCCCCAGCTGAAGCACAGAGAGCCTGCGCTGCCAGGCTTTATATAGGCTGTCTCGCGTCGCATCGCCCAGTGCTGACGGCCCATTCGCATTTAGCTAATTAACAAGTCAGCTTGCATTTTAACAAGTTTCAAATCACTTCAGCGCCTGATTAATAATCACCACGCTTAGACCAGTGTGAGAGGGTGTGCAAAAGGATCAGGAGAGGATTTTGAGCTTGCTCTTCAATGCATGTGTTTAACATTCTGGTTTGCATTTTAACCTTCTTTAGTGCCACTTAACACACCAGGTGCATCTAATCAGACCGCTTAGGGCACACGAGTCCCTTTGAAAAAGGGGTTTTTAAAGTTGGAGTTGACTGCGGGTCTTAATTTACATGTCGGCATCAGTATTAATTGTGAAGTTTAGCTAATGTAACCACATGACAGGCTATTCTAAAGGCCAAAATGCTACAAGTATTAGTCCTGATGACAAGGTTATGTCTGACAGAGACAATGAACAGTAGGCAAAAGTGGAAGGTTGGACTCTAGTGGCATTTAAAATTGATCATCAGGAAGCTCCAGGTTTGGGCAGCTGGGAGTTTGAGACTCCCGGTGTCTCTGGTTAAGCTGGTTAGCAAATTCAAAAGGTAAATCGAAGTAGCTAAAGGAAATAAAAATTGCTCAGCACGAGCATTACCACGAAAGACAACGGCATATAGCAGCAAATACATCAGGTCTTCCTAAGTCTTACTGACCAACTTAAGACAGCAGATAATGCATGAACTGTTTTCACAAACTCCAGCTAACTCTCACCTCTTCAGTGAGGCCAGTCATATTCTCAGACCTATCTCTCCAGATTCCCCAGGTAAAGAAAAATCTATAAGTTGGAATATTATCAATGGTTTTAAAATAAGATGTTCGGTGAAAAAGTGGATTATTTTTGTGATAATTCCAAAACTTGAGGGGTCGCAACTTTGCCCCCTGCTTCCACTCCAGGTGGATGCTTGAAATCTGCTGTGGTGCGATAGACCACGAGACACGAAGCCAGCAAGCCTTCTGGATGGTTGGAATAGCTACTGTAGCTGCAGATCCAGCTTTGAGGTTTAGATAACAGCCAGGGGGGCTAGAAAGAGGAAGTGTTTGAAAAACAAGAGTGGTAAGAGCTGGCCAAGACCACAATGCCAAAGCAATTTAAACCAGACACTGTACACCTAATCTTTTTTTTAATGTAATAACTTTTTTTTCCTTTTCTCCCCAGCTCAGGTGTCACAGCACTGCCGTCAAAAGCAGCACAGCGGTGAATTAACATTCAAATGGACTGGGAGAGAAAACATCTGGAAAACTGAAAATAAAATAAAAACCGCAGTTCCAAGTCACAAGCAATGGATCGCACCAATCTGACTCACTTACAGTTACAAAGAGTGGAATAAAAAAAAATGGAGTTTTTCACCAGCCCTTTCTGTCCCTTTGTTATGAGATAAACTATTGGTCAGAATGGATTCAGTCAGCTCTTGTCTGGGGCAGAGCAGTGTCTGATGCCAGAATGCAAACTCTGCGTCGGGCAAGACCCTTGTCATAGGCATAAGTGGTGCACTAGGGGATTTAAAAGTGTGAAAGATGTAGCTGCAATCAGAAGCCATGTGACCTGTAATTCGGGGCAGCCAAAGCCAAAAACGTAACAAGCAGTATGGAAGTGCAGGCGACCACACTGTTTCACATTTATGGGAACTGCACAGCACTGAAGCTGAACACTTCGTACGACTGCAATAAAACTGATTTCCAGGACTTGCCTGAGGAGACCCATGATACCTACCAGTTCTACATCATCAGCCTCTTCCTCTCCTGTTTGTACACCATTTTCCTCTTCCCCATCGGCTTCATCGGGAACATCCTCATCTTGGTTGTCAACCTTAACCATCGGGACAAGATGACTATCCCTGACCTCTACTTTGTCAACCTGGCGGTGGCCGACCTCATCCTGGTGGCGGACTCCCTGATCGAGGTCTTCAACCTTAATGAGAAGTACTACGACATCGCCATCCTCTGCACCTTCATGTCCCTCTTCCTTCAGATCAACATGTACAGCAGCATCTTCTTCCTGACCTGGATGAGCTTCGACAGGTACGTGGCTCTGGCCAGCGCCATGAGCAGCAGCCCCCTGCGGACAATGCAGCACGCTAAGCTAAGCTGCAGTCTCATCTGGATGGCCTCCATCCTGGCCACCCTGCTCCCCTTCACCATCGTGCAGACTCAGCACACCGGCGAGGTCCACTTCTGTTTTGCCAATGTCCTTGAGATCCAGTGGCTAGAGGTGACCATAGGGTTCTTGGTTCCTTTCTCAATCATTGGCCTCTGCTACTCGCTGATTGTCCGCATCCTCATGAGGGCCCAGAAACACCGGGGCCTCTGGCCCAGGCGGCAGAAGGCCCTGCGCATGATTGTGGTGGTAGTCCTGGTGTTCTTCATCTGCTGGCTTCCCGAGAATGTCTTCATCAGCATCCAGCTCCTCCAAGGCACAGAAGACCCTGCACAGCGCAGTGGCAAGACGCTGAGGCACGACTACCCGCTGACGGGCCATATTGTGAACCTGGCGGCCTTCTCCAACAGCTGCCTAAACCCCATCATTTACAGCTTCCTGGGAGAGACTTTCAGGGACAAGCTGAGGTTGTTCATCAAGCAGAAGGCCAGCTGGTCCGTGCTGTATCGCTTCTGTCATCACACCTTGGACTTACAGATCCCCGTCAGGAGTGAAGTGTCTGAAGTTTAACACCAGCGGCTCCTCAAAGGATCCTGGGAGGCTTTTAGGCTGGAGTGGCGCAGATGACCTGAGGCACTGGGGTCAAACACGTCAAGTCTAGGCACGGACAACCCTCTTGGAAAAGTGCAGGAAGTTTGGATTGAGATATCCTTAATGTACCCCAATGACTTCCGAAAATAAGCTTCTCATAACTGCTAGAAACAACAGAAAGAGGAAGAACTGAGAAAGGACAAGGGCCTTGGGAGAACACGCCATAAAACCAAAAAAAGCAGGCGAGAGGAAGCACTGTATTTTCTTTTTGTTATTTAAAGTAATTTAAAAAAAGACGCTCTGGGGCTGAACAAGCAGCTTATTCAGGTTAAGGGAAAAAAACAAATATCATGTGTTATGATTTTCTGACTAAAGAATTTATTAAACACTACTGTTTCTGATGAAGAACATTACTGTACAAAAAGAAAACTGTTTTAGATGCTGACTTGTTTTGTTGAAGTTGCACCTAAACCTTAATTTTCTTGTGGCTTATTACAAAACAATACGGAAAAAGGAATTGTTTTTAAGCAAACGTGTTTCACCGGTACTACTTGTTTCTCTGCTATTCTTTTCAATACATATACACTGCTGTGCGAAAGTCTTACATCTTAGACAAAATCAGTAGTTGCAATATTATATGTTATAAGCATCAGCAATTTACTCAAAGTCTCCAACAATGTTTTCTATTATAATACATTTCACAGTCACTAATACAGCTTAATTTGGAAAAACCTGAGTTTGTCATTTAGCAATCTTTAACTCAAGTGGATAAGAAACTTCAAAAACATTATCATCAAACTATGCATGAATGAATACCTACTATGAAATGTGTGGTAGCTAATCCATCACATTTAGCAATAAAATACGACTGATTCACTGTCAGACACTCTTTCTCGTTAATTTCATTTGCTCCTCCTTAGACAAGTGTCACATCTCAGGTCATATGTAAAAGTATCCTACAAGGACTGAACTAGAAATGCTGAAATGCTTTATTTCATTGTAAGCATTGTAAGTTTTTTTTGTATCAGTAAACAGCCTTGCTTTCCAAACGGACTAAGCATGGTCTTACCTAAAAAAATACATATACGTTCAAGAAGAATGAGATGTTTTGGGATCTCATTACTGAGCCTCCATTTTGTGCGATACCACATCTGTTCAAATTTAAAAAAATAAAGCCCAATTAGCCCTGTTAGTATTCCACTCTTAGAGTATCCATGATAAAGATTCTGATATTAGCCACCCAACATACCTAAACATGCAAAGTTAAACTACGTTTTGTGCTACAAAATGCTGATTTATCATGATGGGGGTAAATGGCTACCATTTCCCTACAAGATCAAAACAGAATTGGGTTTCTGCTTAAAGGCAGAAAAACGTAATGTGAAGAGCAGATTAATTCTAAATTTTTAAGACTTTCGCACAGCAGTATAAAAACAGAATCGGTTTGTATTAACACAGTTTATTTCACAAACTCTAGAGACAATGTGTGCAGAGTGCGTCTGGTCAGGGAACAAAGGAAAAGGATTGAGTCCACTAATCCTTTTCTCATTACAAACCATTGTGATGCCTTTACGGTCTATTGCTGAACTGCAAAGTGTTGCTAGGCTGTTATTCTCCACTGCGTGAAAAAGAGCAATATAATGCAATTACTTCTATCTTCTGGTGTATACTTAAATGTCAAAGGCGACGACTCTGGAGAACCCGGAGTATTCTCTCTTAACACCCTCACACTAGGATCTATGAAAAGCAGGGTAATTTTCAGAATAATAAAGCAATGTATTTTGTAAGAAATTGTGCAAACAGATCTGTTTTCTACAGGAGTTATGACCTACAAGTCCATTAGAAAAAAAGCTCAGTAATGGTGTTTGCTGCAGTAACTGCTTCCTAGCTTCTTGGTGTTTGAGTTGTTTCAGGGGAGGGACTCCTAACCTGTGGGACATTTACTTGGTTCAAAACACTGTGGGTGCTCTCTTCAATATCTCACACAGCATCTAGAGCTACAGGACTTTCCAAGGAAAATTCTCAAGTTCAGATGGCTGCACCCTTCAGTGCGAGATATATTCTCATACTTACAGTACATACCTCAGTGTCAGTGGTACAGAACGGGTCACAGAAAGCCACAGGCTTTGTTTTTCTGATATTGGCACGATATTCACCTTAAAGGTAATTCAGAGGTAAGCAGTACCCTCTGTAGTGATGGGCTAAACTAGAACACCAGAGTGAACAGCAAGCTGTAAGCCCATTTTTTATTTTGTTTCATTGATAAAGGCTGAAACCATAGAGGCACTATGTACAGATCACTCTCCCACCTAATTGGCTAATTCCTTTTACTATGAACTGGTCAGATTGATCCCAGATAAAACAAGGACCTCTGGTTTATTTTTTTTTACCACTCTTAATGCAGCACAGATCTTCCACTAAAAAGGAAAAACCTTACAATAGTCCCCTTCGGCTGTTGTTTCTTCAGCACATTAAGTTGTTGAAATCGCACTGTGCTGGGGCATAACAAATGCTCACACCATTCCTTCAGGCTGATTCAGCACTTAAGTGAAATGAATCAAGGTTTTCAGGTGACACACTGCACACAAGCTGTTTTTGTGTGCTATGGCCTAATGAGATGGGGAAGAGTTTCCATAGCAAAGGGCATCCTTTGAAAAGCTCCTCACTCAAGCAGCACTGTGGCCAAGCCTGAAGGTAACCTGGCAGGATTTTACACCATATCTCATGCTGACAAGGCAAAGCCGACTGAACTGCAAAGAATAAAAAACGGCCTAACACAGTAGTAGTAGAACTCGGATAACAGACCTAAACTCAGTTGCACACAGCTATTAAGTAAATAAATGGAACAGAGCAGAAAAACTCCCTGCTCAGAGAAAGATCTTCTGACACAGGACAACAAAACCATGCACAACTTTGATTACAAAGAGTAAGCGAATGATACAAGATACTTAAGGATCAAAGCACTGCCTCGGACTTAAGATTGTTCTAATGTGCTTTTCTCCATTTTAACAACGGAAAAGAGGGGCAGGGCAGGGATGTTCACAACTCAGCACATACACCTATTGGCTACGTTCTCAGAAAACACTATTTTCCATTTCAGTCCCGCGCCGGTTGGTCTGCTGGCTTGTGTGAACGCCAGCCCAGAAACACAGTCAGCTATGCTCCAGCATGGTGCCTCCACCGGGATGTCGCCTAGCAACCTCCAAAACCCCAGAAGATGCACTCTAGACAAAGATGACTGTACATAGTTCAGCTAGTGTTTCAACCATGGTTTTCTATTTGTAAATTGTACAAAATTTAAAGCTATGTTTTGGAGGAAGTTGAAAGGCAAAAGGAAATTTCTAAAGATGGAAAGATCTTAAAAGCTGAAGCAAAAAGTGGACTCTCAATTTTGCTACTGCGTTTTTCTGTATTGACCGACTTGACAATTCAGTGGTTCAGTTACACAGATCCTCATATGACATAACCACATAAAAACAGGCACTGAAAGTTGCAATGATGACTGCCAGATCCACCCAAGACATCTCCTAACAGTAGGATAAAACAATGTTAAAACAGACAACATTTGCCAACCATCAAATTTTCATAGCGAGTGAAAAAGGCACTAAAACAAAGCAGCTGTCAGGCAGGAATGTTACACAGGAATGATTCTGGCTTTGGCATTGATGTATCAACAGATCACAAGACAAAAACACGGCCATATTTGCTAGCACACTGTGGGGAAACTAGGTGCACTTCAGTTTCATTACAGTCTGAAATGTCTTTTCCTAAATGAAAAACAAAGCCATTAAAGTATTAAAATCCTTGTGCTATTTACAACCACATCCAACAGAGAAAGAGGCAGCAAATTGCACCCATAAACTAAACAAGCACTGCTGATGGAAGAGTCACCTTTACACAGAAGAGCTCAGATCACAGTATTATACTGCGATCTTCTAAAAAAGGGCAAAGCTCTGAACCGGGTTGAACTCCCTGTACTCAAGTGGGGATGAAAAGAACACTGAACACTGAAAACAAGGGCCATGGGGGCTTTTCTTCTCAATGACACCTTGGACAGAGCTTGCTGGCTCCTGGTCTGTTCCATAGAAGCCTTCCTTCTCTCACGAAGGAGACGGGATCGAACACAGTGGGGGAGAGACGGAACGCCATGTCAGGCACAGCCCTGCTGCTGGACAGTGGGACGCTGGCCCTTTTTGTCTCCGTCTGTGAAGGTGTCCCTGGGACGACTCTCACAAGTGTGAGCAGCAGGGATCGACTCAGGAGTGACTCAACCCAGAAACGGAAAGGCCTGCAGAAATCAGCCCTGGCTGCCTGTATTTATACAAGGATCAATCTCTTTAGTTCATAAGGTTAGTAACTGTTGTCTGCTAAAACTACAGCACTTATTCATCAAAGTCTTTGCTCATGATATTGCCAGCACAGCAATACTCCACAGACAACAGGAACAGGAACAAGTTAAGCATGGATTCCCCTGTTACCCAGGAACAGGTTTGTCCGAGCCTCGATTCGGATCAGAACCACGGCAGCAGCTCCTGCTGTCAAAGGGAAGAGGAGAAAACATGTGGGAAGGGAAACAATTTCATTTGCCACAGACTTTCTACTTTCTGTACTAAGCTGGGACTCTTCTATTACTGTATGTTGTCACAGCATTACAGTATATCTAGTTAGCTGGACTCCAAGACTCTGCCATTACAGAGCACTTTTAAGGAACTGAAATAGGTGTCATTTATCTTCTGAGTTTAATTGTTTTAATCCTCAGCCATTTTAAGTTTATTTGCTTACTTCATTGGAACACTCATGCTGTTGCTCTAAAGCAGAACGCCAGAAAAGCAGAGAGTCTTGAGCACTTTTTTAGTCTCTGCATCAAGAACAAGATCTTGTATAAGATATCTTTTATCTTTATAAATCCTTAAAAATGAGCCAAGCCATCAGAAAAGGTAACGAGATGCTTTAGGACACATGTAAAACTGACTAGCTGTCCAGGAAGTCCCAAGAAGCAAGGGTAGAATTTTTTACAGGCAGATGAAACAAGCACCCATAAGCCTGATTCCCAGGGAATGAGGCGTGAAGAGAGAAAATAAGTAGCGATGCAGTAAAACAAACAGAAATCGGACTTTTGACCACTTTTCAGCATCGGTACTGGAGAGATGCTGATGTAGCACTGGGATGATGCCAAAACAGTTTTGGTTTCGCAAGTTTGTTGTGCAACACCTAAGGTGCTAAGCAAATCAGACACCATCTTTAATGTCCTGCTTCATAATAACATTGGAATAGAAGAGTGATGTTCATTTCAACAGAATCTTTTGTTATGCACTTCTTTAGTTTGAATATACAAATGTGCAAGTACATTATTATTGGAGCTAATGGATAGCACTTCTCTAACTGCTTCAATGCAGGGCTGTGGGGGATCCAGAGTCTATCCCAGCAAGCAATGGGCACAAGGCAGGACGCCAGTCCATCACAGCACACACACGGACACAAACACAAGCTCACACACACTCACACCAGGGCCAGCTTTCACAGAAGCCAACTAATCTACCAGTATGTCTTTGTACTGTGGGAGGAGACTAGAGCGTCTGGAAGAAACCCACGTGAACAAGGGGAGACCATACAAACTCCACACAGATAGAACCCCAGGAATTGAAAGCAGGGCAACAACACTGAAAGGCAGGAATTCTACCTACTGCACCACCATGCCACTCTCTCCGTATTTCTATGTTACTTTATATAAATAGCACTTATCTACAAAACAGCACTGTTACAAAACAGGGACCCACACAAGCAAGGAGGTGAAAAGCTAGAGAACTGTTAACAGTAAAGTCACAATCCCTGAACTCAGGTGACGCCTGTCCCCACACCCCCCAAACAGAACATGTCATCCCCTCACTAAGGGGAAATCCACCTGCCCTGGGGGGAGGTTCAGCTGCAGCCTTCAACACTAACAGCTTAATTAAAGATCTGTATTTATATACATCTCACCCTTCAGATCTCAATAAAATCTCCACTTGTTATCACTGATCACCTTTTATATGATGCAAATTCCCAGAGTGCAAAAAATAAAATAAAACTACAAGGACAGCAAACAGCTGTCACATTTAGGTCCTTTGACAGCCACAGTGCTATCAGTTAGTTAATGATATAAAAAGCCTCTGGTAGAGATTACAGCTAAGAAGCCTGATGGCCACTGCTAAGATCTTAAACTCTAACCAATGGAGACCATTCCAGTTTATACTCCGCCTTGGGGACACTTACACTGTACTACGCCCAAAGGTGAAATACATACAGAAAATGCCAGAAAAATGAACCCCTAAACCTCTGAAAAGAAAGAAGTTAAGAGGTTGGAGTGAGTACTTTACAATCCTGGTATGGATGTAGATAGATACTTTATTGATCCCGTGAGGGAAATTGAGAATTTATTAAGAATTTCTTTAAATGTTTCACTTAAGGTAATATACCTTGTCCACCTTCAAACTCAAGACAGAAGTATTATTTCCTTTCCAGTCCCAGGCCATTAAGACAATGTATTTTGGCAGTAGAGCTGTTGAGGAGAAAGGAGCCACAAATCTGACAGCCAGTGAATCGACACTGAAAAGTGCCACTCTGCTCTTTCAGGACTCAGAATGGGACCCCTTATCTGTAACTGATCTTGAGCAATGTCCGTCCTTCTCAAGGGGTCCCAGAAGCCAGATTAATTTAGAAATAATATACACTTTTCTTCAAGAGCCAGGGCTTGCACTTCTCCCAAAAGAATACAACTTGAATTCCCTTCGCTCCATGCGAAACTGGGAAAA